TGTTACTACTAGCGTGGCACTTGTTTCTAGTAGCTTCTTGTTACTACTAGCGTGGCACTTGTTTCTAGTAGCGAACCTTGTTACTCCCAAGGCACACATGCGATTTCTGCCATCTTCGGTGCCCAAAAACCCCAGCTTCTTCTCGGCGTTGGACCGAACCAACGACACGATCACGATCTCGTTCTCAGCGCCCTGGTACCGGTCGATGGTGCTCACCTCCGGCGTCTCATCCGGCTGCAAGTTGGAAGGTTCCAATTGAACTTCAATCTTTTCGTTTTGTCCATCAGGCACTGGCGACTTGAGAATGTACCTGCCAGTCTTCACCTTTTGCCCTCCTGCTCCAAGCACTCGGCCTTGTTCAAGGACAGTGTCCGTGATATCCACCACATTACCACGCTTGATGAGGCTTGGGTCCAGTTCTGCTTTGAAGGAAACGAGTTCGCGCTTGAAACCAATTCCCCGGAGGTACTCAGGCAGCTGTTTCTTGATTTCACGATTGATCAAAAACGTTTGCGCTTGATACGCTGCCAACACCGTAATCTTCGAAGGCTGATAGCCCTGCGAGATAAAGAAGAACGTTAAGCGCACCGCCCGTTCACATTCGTGATTGTTGACATGGCTCCTCTCAGCCTTCTCCTTCGATTTGGGCTTACCAAATCAAGTAAATAACACGTGCTTTTTTAAGCTCTCTTGCAAAGCAAAAGCGTGGTCTCAGCCAGGATTGACACCACATCTCCAGAAAAAAGACACATGTCTGTTTTGGCTATGTTTCAACAGATTTGTGTTTTTCCAAAGAAATCTCACATGATGCACATGATGCATGCTCGAAGCCGAACGTGGCGATAGACAGACCCAAAATCGAGAGCTAACAAAAGTCATCCGCCAAAAGCAGCAGTGGCAAAAGGCTCGGTTCTCCTCTTCGTGAGGGCAATTCCAGAAGAAGACTTCTGATTCCACGCATTCAGGGGCCCGAAGCTTCTTGACGACTTTCTCATTGTTGCCTTGGGTAGCTTGTACTGCCTTCATGATGCAAGCCTTTTGGACCGGAAACAAACCAACCAACCAACCAACCAATCAACCAACCAAAACAACACAACAAAACCAAAAAACAACCAAACCAAAACAAACAAAACAAAACAAACCAAACCAACAAAAACAAACACAGACACCAACATAGCAACCTGCTGGGCTAGAATTGGAAAACGGTCTTCCACAATGTCGGGGAATCAATCACACATCACAAATCACAAAACGGTGCAAGAGATTGCCCAAAGGGCAAAACCGTATGGTACTCATGGCCGTCATCATTTCCTTGCCTCCTCGGTTCACCTTTTGGCTTCAGTGTGACATTAGTACGCTTCGTTTATGATCGTATCATACAGCAAAACCCCAAAACCGGACGTCGAACACGGTCCCCACTCTTTGCCCAGTCGCCCAGGAATGGATAGATCGGACTCAAGAGCCGGCAGAGTGATGGCAGCATCCGACCTGGTCCGTGAACCGTCCGCTGAACGACGAAGGGAGGCCTGCCCACGTGGGTCGTCATTGGTGGATCTCACGCGCGATCATACGTCAAGAGAAGACGCACGGTCACCATGTTCAAACGAAGATGATGAAGATGTCATTCTTTACTGACCCACCGTCACCCTGTCGGTGACCAAGTTCTCACTTTGCAACACCTAGGTTTACACGTGAAATATCGGAGGGACGAGGCCTTTTCAACCGGTCACCAGTGGGCATTCCACGGCACGGCGGCGTTCGACCACGGGCTTTCGACCTTGTCGACTGAGCTCCACATTTGGCAGCTTGTTATGAATCAGCCGCTCCAGCATGCTCGTGTCGAAGAGGTGGTTTTGCTTCAGAGTGTAGGTTTCCTACCGCCGAGGAAACAAAGCTTTGATGCTACTCCGTCGAGCGACTCGGTGTCGTGTAGCGGATTCGCCGTCAGGGGTCGGAACGCGACTCTGCACCGAGGACTCTCCACGACGCGACGCACATGTTTTTTCTCTTGGGAAATCGGTGATAGACAATCAAGTGCGAAAGGGAATCCAAGTATGAAAAGTCTTGAAAGTTCCCTAATTGGATCTCCTGGGCTGGGGTTCCAAGCAGTTCACCCCAAGACCGTTAAAACCATGGTGGACACACGGAGTTTTCCCCAGGCATGACTTTCTGAGCCATGTGGAAAACTCAACCGTGGATTCCCGTTGACAGTTGTGCTGAAGATCTTGATTGACCAAACCAAATCAAGTGGAATGCCAACCGGAGAATGCCTTCCCTGAATAATCCATGCACGACCAAAAACCCAAAGAACGAAGGTGGTTGACCTGGAAATATGCAGCTCACGGATGGTTGAAGGTGGTTGACCCGGATTTCCACTCACAGGCTCTACGGTCGCTCGCTCTCTGGTCCTAAGCCTACGGTTTGGGATGGTTTGGGCATAGCCGCAAGAGCTCGGCATTGTGTCCGCGGGAAGGCAGGGTTCTGTACAAATCGATTTGGCAATAGCAGACTATATTCGACCTTTCTTCCTTTTTGTGTCTAAAAGCGATGGCCTCCAACCTAAGAGGGAAAAAGGCAATTGGTTCTGTACAAATCGGGTTGGCACATAGCACTGGAGTATTGTCGCTGGAAAAACAACCTTGACGTGTCTTGAGTGCAGCATGCTGCAAACAAAACGTGATAACCGAAGATGCCCGATTTGTAGATGATTTGCCTCTTGAAATTGGGACGGTTCCTAGCCTAAGGCATTCAATCAAAAGCTGTCATTTAGTTGCCAAGAATGGTGGACCCAAGTAGGGGGTCCGTGGTGGTGGTCTGTGCACGATGGGTGTGTATCGTTGTGCTCACAATGATCCAGCCAGCAAAACCAAACCTTGTGAACAGAATATTAATATGTACTTTCTCCTCCGAATTCTATCGTTCTTGCCCTGTCTCATCCCCCATCAGCCCACACAACAAGTCCATCAAAACCGATCCTTTCCACTCCAGACTTGAGATATTCTGTCCAAAACCACCCAAAATCGGCAGAGACTTTTGGAGAGGAACTTTCTACGCTCTGGGAAAAGACCTCCGTTCTCAGAAATACCCAAAACGGCAAGTTCTTGAACCATACCTTCAACGATGTGCGTCTATTCACCTTCAACTCCCAGAACCGGAACATGATGTGAACATGAGACTCATCTCAACAATGAGACGTTTAAATTGAACGCATCTTTCAAAACGACTCAGTTAAAACATAAGAATAGAACTCATCTAAAAAACATCGAACTCGGAAACGAGGCTCAACTGGAGGTGGCAATTGTCGGTGATCTCCGATCAAAATCAAATTCTTCACCCATGGGCCAAGGACCTGAGTCTCGACCATCGAAGAGATCGGGTATGGTAAGGATTTGGTTCGTGAATTGTTTTTGTAACCTAATAGCAATGGCCTCCAATAGTCTTTTTAAGCTCGCTTTTACTTGACGAAGTAGGCGGCTACCAGTACTTAATCAAGTAAGGACTAGCAGACTGGCATGCGTCACTGGACGCAGGATAGCGCTCGCACGATTCATTTGGTTCCTAGATTTTCTTGGACACTTCACTCTAAGCAATTTGTTCCAAGAAATGCAGTTGCTGGGTGCCCGAGATTGGACCAAGCGCAGGGTGCGCAAAGCGTGCTTCTGAATCAGTACTGGGTCACAGCAAGAATTTGAGGTTCAAGTACTTCGGCTGCTTCTTCAACAATGACCTCAGTCTTCCCACAAATCAACATCTGGCTGATGGACAACAGCTGTGATCCCAATTCATCAAGGCATGTGCCATTTCAAGCAGAATCACAAGCTTTGACCATGCGGGGGTCTTCGACTCTTTTCGGGGGCAATTCGCGAAAGGCTCCACATGCAAACAACTATAAAGACACTATATAGCGATGGCCTCCAACCTAGTAGCGATGGCCTCAAACCATTCTGTTTATATGTGAACCCCCTTGGTTTGAAGGCATCCTTTCACTGTAAGATAACCCCCTCGCATACTCGTGTCACGAGCTGAGCGACGACATCAGGCTTCACTTGCTTTAGCAAGCCAATGTTGATTGATGCGCCAGTAATGGTCATACCAATGATCTTCCTTTCAGGACCAAAGGGGTAGGCAAAATATCCGCAACAGCATCCCTATTACGCCGAGTGATGGCTTTCAAAAAAACTCTCTAAAAGGCATGGTGATCCAGCGGAGCCAATGATTGCTAATCGACCTACACAAGCATAGTGCTAAACGTGCCAAATAATGCCAAATATGCCAAAGGTCTTCGTCTCCAGAATTTTGCTGCTGAAGTTCATGTCATTGGCCTCTTCCTCAGCGCACGCAGTAGCCAGTCCTTGAACAGCTTCCTCCAGCTGCTGGAAACGGCTCTGGGCTTGTTGCGCAATCTGCTGTACCACAACTTTCGCCCGCTCCTCAGGGAAGAGATTCGTAGTTCTGTTTCACCGTATTGATAGGTTAATTTTAGGGCTAATGTCCTCAAGAAAAGAGCAGTTGTTCAATGAAATAGATTGCCGACTACAAACACAACCATGATCTTCCTGGTCATGCAGAAAGAAGAAGAAGAAGAAGAAGAAGAAGAAGAAGAAGAAGAAGAAGAA